AATTGTATACTCTTGGAAGTCAAGCTTCCACTGTGCAAGGTGCCGTGTGCCCCGTCACAGCAATTGTAAACCAGAGAATTTTAAATACACATTGATTAGTAATTATTGAAATTTAAATAATCACTAGCTGCAATCTTAGCTATTTCCAGACTAGATATTGACCCCTGAGCTTTAATGCCACATTGCGGGTGTGATAATGCTTGATTGCTTTCGTGACGACTGCGAGTTACCGAGTCTCACTTTTGCTCATAATAGATTTGGATGATTTGTGTCTTATGCGTTTGTGCAAGTATCGTACAGTACATTTAATAGTCGAGGAGAAGTAGGTGACTGGGTAACATTGATCAATGAAAACCAGTACAGCATCTTTTACCTTTACACTTGTTGAAAATGGCACGAAAGTTACGTTAAACGCTCAAAAATATCTCTGTAAAGTCGGTTTCATCTGCATGATTGGTAGAGTCTTTATTTATCTAGTATGATTATTTTTAGCAGCATGTTGGGCCAGGGGGAAATATATTGTGATTGTGATAGTCGGTGTTGAGATGTTTAGCTATAAATTATTGTGGTTGGTAAATTTTGGCAGTTACATTCGGGATGTAAAGAGGTTCGCTCTCTCCATAGCTTTTTGATGGAGATATTAATGACAGCTCGCTCCAATATCATTGGCCAGACATGCACCCTGTTTAAATATTCAAGAAACTACTCCAACCGTTCCATTCAAGATTTTAGAATCTATAGCGCCAAAATTATGGAACCTTGCTGCTTTGCACAGTAAGCGCACCACTCAGTAGTTCCGACTAAGCAGTCCCGCAATGTTCTTGACAAGGATAGGTCTCTCTTGATTACTTCAGGTTTAAGCACTTCTGCGCGCAACATGCAGTCATTCTACAATTTTGCCGGCTCTGAGCTGGATGTCTGCAATTCGGCGTCGTAGACACCCGCTTGCCACCCGCCCTGGCACATAAGACTTCATCCTATAAGTGTCTTTACGTCCCACTAAAGAAACACTGGAGACCACAAGATAAAGACGTTCTTTTTCGCTTATCCTGAGACCATACCAGACCGCCGCTTCTGCCTTGCGTGATCAAATCGACACATGATTGTTATCAATTTAATACAACGTTCTGAACGGATGGTATAGAAGCTTTGTGTTCGTTCCAAACACTCTTCTGCATCCTGGATGTGGTGGCAAAAATCCATCGGCTTGAAAAGTGCAGCATCTAAATTCTTCGGCTTTTCGTCAAAATATGCCTCATAGTGCTCTAGACGCACCATACCAAAATACAACCATAAATTAATTCAGAGCCTGAGCAAACAACATAACAAGCTAATTGAGTCCTAAAAATTCACATGGAAGTTCAACAAAACTTTCCACAGCTCCCGTCGCAAGGATTGTAAATGTCAAACTCTGCATCTTCAATGTCTGTGTTGAAAGTTTGTCTATAGTAATGTGTATAGACGTAGCGACTTCCCAATTTTACCTAGCTGTGTATACTATACTGTATCAACTCTAATATACAAGTTAGTATTGAGCTGTACCGTGCAAAATTGGAACATGAATTCTGGCTCAGTGGTTTGGGTGGCTGGCTCCAAGCTGTTGAGTGAGGGTTCGAGTCCCGTTACGGTTAAAGTTAGGAAGC